GAAAAATTTTAAAATTGGAAACTCATGGCATTATATCGCCGCGTGTGTGTGTGTGTGTGTGTGTGTGTGTGTGTGTGTGTGTGTGCGGGCGTGTGCGTGTGGTCGTGGCGCGGTGGCGCGTGCGCGTCGCGGCGTGGTTATGTGTGTTGTGTGTGTGTGGTGTGTGTCGTGTGTGTGGTGTTGTGTGTGTGTGTGTGTGTGTGTGTGTGTGGTGTGTGCGGCGCGTGTGTGTTATTACTTATGGTGCCGTTCTCTGAGGGCACTTATTGAAACTTCTGCCGCTTACTTAAAGAAAACAATAGGCGTGTTCACACACAAAAAAGACGGCGGCTATACCGAAGATAAATTGTGTCTGTTGTTCACAGCAGGCGGAAAATATCTCGTTCTATATTGCGCCGCGAGCGGGATAATTCTATTATAATGCGAACTGCGCATGCCACTGTCTCGGACTGATGCTCACTGCGCCATTGCTCTACTGGCTCACTTCGCATTGGCATATTGATGGGGATAGAAAAATACCAGGATTAGCTTGCAGCGAGCGGTTCACACGACGCAATTAATCGCGCTAAGTACCAACTATATGCGCAGTCAAGAAGTGGGCGATTTGGAGCGCGATGCTGATCGTAATATAGTGAGATATCTGCGTTCAACACTTGTAATTAATTTTCAATGCGTCGATGTCAAAACGCGGGATTTGGCATCCCGCAATTCGCATGCAGTGTGAACGGCCGCCTAATAGTTAGGCCAGTAGCTGCGACATGCTGATGAGCAGAATCTCTGGGCACCAAGTAATATCGTCGCTAATCCAGCAGTGTGTTCGCGATAAACGTGCCAGCAGGCAATGACAGCTGGCCCGGATATATATATAGATATAATATATATGTATATATATATCCTGATATATTATATATATATTTATATAACGTCTTTCATTTAATGCTTTCGTCGTTTCGTATTATAATATATTATGGGCAGCTATCACGCCGCATTCGTTTCAACCTAGTTTTCCTTTCTACATCATAGGTTGCGCCTCACCTTCCTCCTTTCGCTCTCAGCACAACTGCTTTCTTGGTTCAAGGTTTAGAGAGAAGACGTGATATAGTTAGCATGGAGTCTCCATAATTGCCTAACCAACGCTATGTACCTACGCGTACGGCCTGAAAGCCGCACAAGGAATATTTTGCATCTATTTTTCATCACAGAGCACCATGTATGGCATTATTATGACACGGTAAGTTGCACGTCTTATCGGGTAGCTATATCAGAACTTTGTATCTAGTAACATCTATCATCGTACTGTATGTAGACGCGTGCCATTTTTTGCTGCGACGATGCTGCCCGCTAACGGCTCGTGTGGGCCGTTAATTCGTTGCAGATGGACGAGTGTGCGGAGACTGGGCGCTGTGTGCGCGTCACGGACGCTGCGAGAAACCTCTAGTAGCTTCACCTCATGCACGTGTCCGCCAGGCTATCAACGCAGCAGTTGATGGCAGGCAGTGCCTCTACGGTTGAGTGTATCCTACGATGAGAAACAGCTTGAAGCCACGCCACTGCGCACGAACGGCACGCAACGCACGCATAGCATGTAGGCACGCACACGCACACACCGCACGCACGCGCACGCATGCACGGATCGCACACGCGCAACGCAAATGCACGCGACCACGCAACGCACAACGCACAACGCGCCACGCTAACGCACGGCAAACGACAACTGCAACACACCGCATCACGCACACACACTACACATAATATATTATATATGTATAAGTATCAAGAGCTAATAAATATATTAGTGTTTATTCGCTCTGATATATAAACATATCATCGTGAATTACTATATCCATGTTGAACTAAAGTGATTCATACGTTGGGTAGCGAGGATGGGGTCTTACAGCAGCGAAACGAGTAGTACAGTCTTGGTTAGTATTTATAGGCACTGCGCTGACTAAAAACCACATCGAATAGTCAGCATAGGCAAGCGCTGAGATCTGCTTATTTACTCGCGTTAGAATACTCTTCACGAACATTAGTAAATATGATTAATAAACACAACCACTGAGCACACAACCTACAATGATATAAACAAATGAAAAAACAAGGCTGCGGTGTGGAATGAAGCATGGGCTATGTTCTTAGGTTTATTACTGATGTATTCAAAATAGAGGGCAAAATTGCAGTTGATTAAATAATGCTGGAGCCACAGCAGATGATTGAAATGTTTCTAGGTTGACGTATAGTGGCGTACCTTCGCATTTGCTACAATTAATCTATACTGTATATATATATATAATATGTATTGTGTGTGTGTGCGGTGCGTCGCGTGCGTGCTGTGGCGGTGCGTGCGTGCGTGCGTGCGTGTCCCTGCGGTGTATTGTGTTGTGTGTGTGCGTCGTGCGCTAGACGTGCGGCGTACGCGGTGCGTGCGTGCCGTGCCTGCGGTGTCATGTGTGTGTGTGTGTGTGTGTGTGGCGTGCGTGCGTGCGGCGTAGCGTGCGCGTGCGTGCGTGCGTGCGTGCGTGCGTGCGTGCGTGCGTGTGTGCGTATCTGTCTCTAGAATGCAAACCAGCTACAATTAAGTCTCACTATATTCACAATTTATCAGAAGTACACATCTAGTATTTTATTTGAAGTACGCTTTCACCGCACTGCAACCGAATAATTATAGTTTTTAACACGATCTAAAGGACGTAGTTCTTTCAATATCTAAGATTCCTGTTGGTTATAATGCTAAAATTGATCAAGGATGCCACATCTGCGCGCATTTGCCGGCCATCCATGTTTCCTCGCCTTATTAGGTTTGACAGCTCTGCGGTAACGCCCCGCTGGTGTAGCGAGGACCTTGGCCGCTTGAAGTTTCCTGACGATAGAGGTTCAACACTGGACACACGTTCCGCGTCGCAAGTCACAGGCTGGCGTTGGGTATCTGCTAAAATCGTGTGAACGGACATGCAACGACGCGATGTCTTCAGGAACCCCGATGGGCGTGTGCGTTGCTGGTGCAAACGGCATAGGCGGTGGGATCCCAGTGGCTGCTCAGTGGCGAGATCTGTCCGCACGCGGTCAAGGTTAGTGTTGCAGTTAGTTCAGTTTTGTTGCATTTTGTTGGCAGTTAAGTTGGCCAAGTTTGTTGGCGAGTTTGTTGGCAGTTTTTAGCTAGTGATGCACGATCATCGATATACTCGATGCATCGGATGAACAGTGGCTCGAGACCAAGGTGCTTGTTATCAAAATCGCATAATGCGATTTTCATCGGAAAAAAAAAAAAAAAAAATAAAATCAATTGTAAAACCTGAAAGCCAGAAAAACTTGGAAAAGTGATGAGAATCAGAGATATCATCGCTACTATAGCCACCGTTATCCTTTATTAAGCATACATTATATACGCAGCACAGTAAGTAAACAGTGCAAAACAAACAGTAAACAGGCTAAACAACACATCACATGCACTACACGTAACATGCATCACGAACGTTACGCACACGCAGGCCATCAACACCCGAGTTAACCGATGTAACCGATCCATCGGTACTTGGGTCCACCGATGATTCGACTACGAAATTACAACCGATGACAACACCAGTTTATCACAAGTTGATTAGCGTAACCAGTTTAGGTTGTTGGTATTACGTTTACATGTTAAACTAATTAAGGGCCGTCACAACATCGTGTTTGGCTTACTCATCATTTTCAATACACCTCAAACATAATTCAACGTCACATCTGATAATCTCACCTGTATGCTGTTTGCGTCTATGCAGATCGGTTCACGCAGCCTCTTGAAGCCAGAACCGAGGAAAAGACGAAAACCGAGACGGCCGTCAGGTGCACTATGTTTTTGGCGATCAGCTACCTCTGCTGTGGCATCAACGGACAGTGTATACACACGGCACCGGGACTGCGTACCGGTGCGAGTGTGACGCCTGGTACAGGCTGGATCACAGTAGGGCGCGTGCGTAGGTGAGTGAACGTGGTAGAGAGAGTAGAGTGCGAGAAGACACAGCGAGAAAAGGGATAGCGAGCGAGAGAGTGAGGCATAAGCGAGAGTGGCTGGGAGGACAACGCAGAGAGAGAGAGACACAGAGAGAGACCGAGAAAGAAGAACAGTCAGAGAGAGGAGGCGGAGAGAGAGAGAAGAGAGAGAAGAGAGAGAGAGAGAGAGAGAGAGAGGGGGGGATGAGAGAAGAGAGAGAGAGGAGAGAAGAGAGAGAGAGCGAGGGAGAGAGAGAGAGAGAGGTGGTGGATGAGAGAGAGAAAGAGAGAGAGAGGAGAGAGATGAGAGGAGAAGCATGAGAGCAGAGCAAGAGAGAGAGAGAGAGAGAGAGAGAAGGAGAGAGAGAGAGAGAGAGAGAGAGAGAGAAGAGAGCAGAGAGAGAGAGAGAGAGAAGAGAGAGAGAGAGAGAGAGAGGAGAGAGAGAGAGAAAGAGAGAGAGACGGGGAGAGAGAGAGAGAGAGAGAGAGAGAGAGATGAGCGAGAGGAGAGAGAGAGAGAGCAGAAGAGAGAGAGAGAGAGAGAGAGAGAGAGGGGAGAAGAGAGAGAGAAGAGAGAGCGAGAGAGAGAGAGAGCGAGAGAGAGAGAGAGAAGAGAAAGAGAGAGAGAGAGAGAGAGAGAGAGAGAGAGGGAGAAGAGAAGAGGGAGAGAGAGAGAGAGAGAGGAGAGAGAGCGAGAGAGAGAGATGAGAGAGAGAGAGAAGAGAGAGAGAGAGAGGAGAGAGAGAGAGAGAGAGAAGAGCGAGAGAGAGTAACAACGGACTATGCTGTAAGGTTTACCTATTCTGCACTTATTACCGTCCGGCCAAGGAGGTTATGTTTTTTTTAGGCCCGTTAGTTGTTTGTTTGGTTTGTTAGTTTGTCTGGCCAACTAAGAGATATCTCACAAAGTTTATGAACGGATTTTGATGAAATTTTTGGAACGGGTTGGTCTTGGGCAAGCAAACCAAGTTGATTAGATATTTAGTGGTGATTCCGCTTCCAATCTGGATCCAGGATTCTTTTTTTGTGGGAAGACTTCGGACCAATTTCGAATTCATTACACAAAAATCCTTGGATAATGTGTTTTTTCATTTTTCTCACATTCTGATAATCTTCATCAAACTCTATATGTGTGTACGCGCAGCAAGATGGGGGGGGACTGTTACGTCGTGCGAGGTTGGCCTATCTCCGATTGCCTCTTGTTTAGATTGAATCGAGTGTGAAAATGGGATGTGTCGATAAGCGGATCAGTGCATCAAATACTGCCCGGCAGCTTCTTCTGTATAAGTGCGACCGTGGGCTTCACATCTTCTCTAAGCCGATCGAACGTTGCGACGGGTAAGGAACTGCCTCATCTTATCATACTATTATTAAATCTTTATTTGTATGTTATTTCAAATACAGGTACATCAGTGCAGTCTTTTTCATTAGGAGAGATAATCTGAATGCGATGCAATAGTGTTGAGCAGTTAAAAAATAACATTTCTGAGGATACAGTCGAAGCAGCCGCTACGTACAGCATGAAGAAAAATATATACAAAACCGCAGTACGTTCTGCGTGTATGTGAAAGCACAGCATTGGTGTGTAAGCTGATGTAGAGGGTGGACACACATAGGGCGATTTTCAATGCGATCAAGCCGGCCATGAATGAAAAAAAATGACAAATTCACGTAGTGTGCCCAGCGAGTCGCCCTGCATCAATACATGTTTGATAATTATTTGAGCTGGCCGCGCATCTGCACTAGTTGCCGCGGGTCTGCGATGGAGCCGGTCCCGATGTGTAACAATTCATCAAGCCAAATCACGTGGCTGAAAATCTTACAGAGTCGCCCGGCTCATGTCGCGTAGTGGTCACAGAGTCCGCCCGACTGAGCCGGCCGGCTCGATCGGCATGAAACAGCCCGCGAGGTTCCCAGCTGTAGCTACTAATGATGTGTTGCCATGTTACTTGTCATGTTCTATAGCACATGACTGATGAATTTGTGGCGGATTAGTATGGAGCTATTGCAATATAATATCAATGAGTTGTATATATAATTGTATATATATATGTCTATAGTCTATAGATAACATGTAAATTGCGGTAAATAATGAAAGCGATAGAAGATTTTATCAACATTGGCTTAACTGCAACTTTTTGTTCATACTCGCACCACAAGAGCAGGCGTGGCGATGCACTAGGCGTGAAAACAAACGCAGAACAAACCATGTATTGTCTCACACCCAGCCACCGTATTTATATGGGCTAACGCATATGCTAATATAAGCTAACATACGTATATGAGATTTCTGAAATACGTTATAGTTCAAATCTGTCAATAGAGATTACACGTATTAAAATGCAGACCGTCATCAGTGACAGTTATCGCTAAAAAATCGATCGGTTGATCGATTCGAGTCTGCTGCTACGAACTGACACTGTTCCTCTGACTGAATAAGAGCACAAGAAGGAAATGCGCGAAGACGGCATGTGTGCGAAGGCGGACATTGCCATCACATGGACGGAACCTACCACTGCGAATGACCCAGGATTTATCTCCTCACCAACGCCACAGATTCTGCGTGGTAAGAGTCGCGAAACTCAAACACCGCAGCGTAAAGGTCCATGCAGAATACTCAATGTATATATATCTATATATATATTATGCATATATACACTCAGCGTGCGTGTGTGTGCGTGTGCGTGCGTGCGTGCGTGCATGCGTGCGCGTGTGCGTCCGTGCATGCGTGCGCGTGCGTGCGTGTGTGTGCGTGTGCGTGCCTACATGCTTGCGTGCGTGCGTGCGTTCGTGCGCGTGCGTGCTTAGCGTCTCATTCGTAGATACACTCACCGTAGAGGCACTGCCTGCCATCACTGCTGACGTGATAGCCTGGCGGACACGTGCAGGTGAAGCTACCTAGAGTGTTCTCGCAGCGTCCGTGACGACACAGCGCCCAGTCATCCGCACACTCGTTCACATCTGCAACGAATTAACGCCCACACGAGCCGTTAGACGGCAGCATCGTCGCAGCAAAAATGCACGCGTCTACATACCAGTACGATGATAGATGTACTAGATACAAATTCTGATATAGCTACCGATAAAGATGCAACTTACCGTGTCTATATGCCAATACAGGTGCTTGTGAGAAAAAATAATGCAAATATTCCTGTTCGGCTTCAGGGTAGGTAGTAACTATCGTTGGTAGGCAATATGAGACTCATTGCTAACTTATCACGTTTCTCTCTAAACCTTGACCAAGAAAGCAGTGTGGAGAGGAAAGGAGGAAGGGAGGGAACCATGATGTAGAAAGGAAAACTAGGTTGAAACGGATGCGGGTGATAGTGCCCATAATATAGTTATAAACGAAAACGAAAGCATTAAAGAAAGACGTTATATATATATATATACTGAAATTAGTGAAGATATGGGGTATTGAACTTAAACCTAGATATGTGGCATAATCCTTAGACCTGGATATGAGGCATATATGCATATATATGGATATATACCCCTCAATTTTATATATATATACTAAAATTAGTGAAGATATGGGGTATTGAACTTAAACCTAGATATGTGGCATAATCCTTAGACCTGGATATGAGGCATATATGCATATATACCCCACAATTTTATATACCCCGCATTTTTATATATATATCCGGGCAGTGTCATTGCCTGCTGGACCGTTAGCGAACACACGCGGATTAGTGACGATATTACTTGTGCCAGATTCTGTGTCGTCAGCTACTGGCCTACTATTGTTTTTTTAATAGTGGCGGAAGTTTCAATGAGTGCGCGTAAAACGCACCATAAGTATAACACGCACGCGCGCGCGCACACACACACACACACACACACACATACACGCACACACGCACGCGCACGCGCACACACACACGTACACGCACACGCGCACGCGCACGCGCACGCAATGAGTATATATCTTATATATATATTTGATATGTATGATGTATATAATATATTATGATACATAATATTCTGCAAATGGCTTTACGCTGCGGTGTTTGAGTTTCGCCGACTCTTACCAACGCAGATCTGTGGGTTGGTTGAGGAGATAAATCCTGGGTTGCATTCGCAGTGGTAGGTTCCGTCCATGTTGATGCAATGTCCGTTCGCACACATGCCGTCTCTCGCGCATTCATTTGTGTCTATCAGAGAGAAGTGTCAGTTCAGTAGCAGCAGACTCGATCGATCAAACCGATCGATTTCTTTTAGCGATAACTGTCACGATGACGGTCTGCATTTTATACGTGAATCTCTATGACAGATTTGAATATAACGTATTCAGAATCTTATACGTATGTTAGCTTATATTAGCATATGCGTAGCATATAAATACGGTGGCGGTGGCAATACATGTGTCTGCGTTTGTTTTCACGCCTAGGTGCATCGCACGCCTGCTCTTGTGTGCGAGTATGAACAAATAAAGTTGCAGTTAAGCCAAGTTGCATAAAAATCTTTATCGCTTATTATTTACCGGCATTTACATGTTATCTATAGACTATAGACATATATATATACAATATTATACACTCATGATATTATATTGAACAGCTCCATACTAATCCAGCACAAATTCATCGTCATGTGTATAGAACATGACAAGTAACATGGCAACACATCATAGTAGCTACAGCTGTGGACACACTACGCGGTGTTTCATGCGATCGAGCCGGCCGGCTCAGTCGGGCGACTCTGTGGACACACTACGCGACTGAGCCGGGCGACTCTGTGGATTTTCAGCACGCTGATTGGCTGATGAATTGTACAATCGGCCGGCTCAATCGCAGACCCGGGCACACTAGGCGATTGCAGCCGGCCAGCTCAAATAATTATCAAACATGTTTGAATCGGGCGACTCGCTGGACACACTACGTGATTTTTCATTTTTCATTCATTGGCCGGCTCGATCGCATGAAAAATCGCCTAGTGTGTCCACCCCTTACCATCAGTACAACCAATGCTGTGCTTTCCACATACACCGCAGAACGTACTGTCGGTTTTGTATATATTTTTCTTCATGCTGTATAGCGCTGTTTCGAACTGTATCACTCAGAAATGTTATTATTTTAACTGCTCAACACTATTGCATCGATCAGATTTTCTCTCTATGAAAAAGACTGACACTTATGTACTTGTATTTGAATAACATACAATAAAGATTTAATAATAGTAATGATAATATGAAGGCAGTTCTTACCCTCGCAGGACGTTCGATCGCTAGAGAGACTGAAGCCATGGTCGCATATACAGAAGAAGCTGCCGGGAGTATTGATGCACTGTCCGTTACGACACATCCCATTTTCACACTCGTTCACATCTAAAACAAGAGCAATCGGAGATAGCAAACCTCCGCCACAGCGTAACAGTCCCCCCCCCCATCTTGCTGGTACACACAATATAGAGTTTGATGAAATTATCAGAAATGTGAGAAAAATGAAAAAACACATATCCAGGATTTTTGTAATGAATTTTGAATGCGTCCGAAGTCTTCCCCACAAAAAAAAGAAATCCTGGATCCAGATCTGGAAGCGGATCACCACTAAAATCTAATCAATTGGTTGTTGGCCCAAGACCAACCCGTCCAAAAAATTTCATCAAAATCCGTTCATAACTTTGTGAGATATCCTGTTGGCAGACAAACTAACAAACCAACAAACAAACTAACAGGGGCTAGAAAAAAACATAACCTCCTTGGCGGAGGTAATAAGTGAGAATAGGTAAACCTTACAGCATAGCTCCGTTGTTACTCTCTCTCTCTCTCTCTCTCTCTCTCTCTCTCTCTCTCTCTCTCTCTCTCTCTCTCTCTATTATAATTTATTTTTTTATAATTTTATATAATTTTATATTATTATTTTTTATTATATAATAATATATTAATTAATAATTATATAATATATTATTTTTTTATTTTTTATTTTTTTTATATTTTTATTATATTTTTTTTTTTTTATTTATTTATTTATTATTATTTTTTTATTAATTATTTATAAATTAATTTATATAATATTATTATTTTTTTATTTTATTATTTTTTTTATTTTTTTATTTTTATATTTATAATTTATGTATTAATTTATTATATATATATATAAATTTTTAATTAATTATATAATATTTTTTTATTATTTATATTATATTTTTTATTTTTAATTATATAATTATTATTATTATTTCTTATTTAATATTATTAAGATATTATTAAATATATTAATTTTATATATTATTTATTATCTTATATTTTTTTATTTTTTATATAATTATATTAATTTCCGCGCGCGCTATACATAAAGCTTATATAGGTGAGGCTCCATACTTTTAACACTGGTTAAATCTGAATATTATTTGTTTGCATTTTGCTCCCTCAAATGGATCGAAGCTCCCTGATGAGAATACTAATCAACGATATAACAGAAGGAGTCAAAAAAAACATTATTTGAAATGGAAGTTTTGAAAATTCATTGACCTGAGATGACCTTGTCTTTATGGGAAGGTAGCGATTACATACAAGCAATGGTTTGATACTTTCAATTTAAACGGCCGCGAATATGACTTTTAGAATCAACAATCGAAGTTTCTACTCGTTGGACGTGGGGCATAAACCGCCGCCCCGCCAGCTCCCCCTCGGCCACTTCGCTCCCTCGCAGGCTCTTCAACCATGTCTTGTCCCCCCACTCAAGGCCAATTTTTAAAATGGATTTGCGTCCCTATTCACAAGGATCCCTGGTCTTCCTATATTTTTTAACCATCGGTTTAAGCTCTCACTCACCTGCTAATCGACTTTACGAAGCACTGGTCGGCAGGATTGCAGCTAGTTGGCAATCCTGCAATATATATATATATACATATATATATATATATACATATCTATATATATCTATATATATATATATATGTTTATATATATGGAGAGAAAAAGATTCACAGGTCATAACAATGTATAATAATATAGCACGACCTTATGGTTGATTACAACATTGTACTATTTATTTTCATACATTATATTATTATTACATTGTATATTGCAACATTGTATACACCTGTTATGTACTTGTAATTTACTTTGGTCACATCATCCCGCCATAATTCCTCACCACCCATTCTTATGAACATAGGAATGGCGCTCGTGTCGTTTTGGTTCTGCCGTGCAGTCAGGTTGAAAATTTTTTCAGTCGATCTCACACGCTCATCTGACCAGCGGTGGGCCTTAATTTTAATCGATTGATGAATGACATAGGACCGACGTTAAAGCCCATGCGAAGGCCAAAAAATACGTCTGTTAAAGCATAGCAATGTGTAGCTGTGTTATTTATGTATCAATAAATCTTTTATAAAGCACTCTAAACGTATTTTTAACGCGATTTTGTAATGCAACTACGCGAAAAACGCGTTTCTCGTGACGTTACGCGGATGACGTAGATTTGAGTATCTATTCTCGAAACGAGAGTTAGCTCGTGGTAACATTGTACAGTAAACCGCCGCTAAACTTGATTGATCGCCGCAGTAATTATAGTATTACTCAATAGATGGGACGGCTTACGCACAAATAAAATGATTAGGCCCAATCTATACTCACCCCAGTCTTAGAATTATATATTTGACCTATATTTCCCCCTCCAAAATCTTAATACTTAGATGTAAGTGTTAGTTAGATCGGTTGCTATCGGTTATGCGCATATAGCTGTTTAGACAAGTGCTAGTATAACTACCTAGCCATTCAATAAATGTGGGTTGGTATATGGCCTACAGGGATGTTCGTGAACATCGCAAAGTCGCAGACCGTAATTGCTACTCGTATGTGGGCGCACACATCTATCCACTCAACCTTTACTATAACGTTATTGTATGAGCTCCGGATACGTTATTTAATACGTTATTCATCCGTAAATGTTGTCGGTATTTGTTATTACCCGTTTTCCAAAACGTCTTATGATATACGTTTTACTTACGCCTGTCGTGCGGTGCGTGGTGTTGCCAAGTGCGTTGTCGTGCGTTATGTGTGACGTGATCTGTGTGAGGGTGTGTGTGTGCACGACTGTGTGTGGCTGTGTATGCTGTGTCGTTGATGTGTGGTTGCTGCCGCGCGCGTGTAAGTGTGTGTGTGAGAGAGATATAGAGTTGTGTGTGCTGTGCGGTGCGTGGTGGTGCGTTGGTTGCAGGTGCGTGTCAGCCACCGGGCGCGTTCACTCCACGGTGGCCGTTGGCGTGGGCTGTGGTGGCGTGTGTTGTGTGTGCCGTGTGTGTGTGTGGGTGTGTGTGTGTGTGTAGTTGTCGTGTGTGTGTGTTGTGTGTGTTGTGCTGCGCGACTGTGTGTGTGTGGTGTGTGATTGTGTAGTGGCGTGTGTAGTGGTCCGGTGTGACTTGGAAAGAAAACACGGGGGGGGGGGTGACGGTGATATGGAAAGATCTGTGGCGTCCTGGGTGTCGTTATCGATATACGACGTCTCATTGCGCGTCTCGGCGTTATGCCGCAACGATTCGATGTGTGAGGACTGTGACAACGGTAAAATTGACTTATGTGTGATTTCGCTTACCTTTGCTGTACAACTGTCCTGTTTCTTGGAGGGCCTGCATATAAGGCGTTTGTGCTCGTGTCTGCCTCCAATTTATATCGCTTGAGTTGTGAGGCCCTCCGCGTGTTAACTAACGCTGGCACGTCAAAGCAGGAAATGGATAAACTACATTTCCAACGCACGGCGTATCTAACATTTATGTAGAATTTGCGGCAGGGATCGAGTACAACAACGCAGTAATGCCAGTTGACTCTCATGTACACTTTACGCCAGTGCGCTCCTATAAGTTGCGCTCTCCACACAATACTTTTTTCAGCCAGGAGACTTGGCGACTTCAAATCAGAGGAATAGTAATTTGCAGTAATGTGTACATTCAGCCAAAGTACACCAGTAAATGCTTTCATGAAGTTTGTTTGACACAGGCTACGTTTACTTTTGCAGGTTTTTCAAGCCTGCTATGAAGTGTCCATACGTGGTGTGAAATCTTAGTATCCACCGGAGCAATAATCGAGATTATTGTTCTGTGAAGCTATGTAAAATAGAGGAATTAGGTCCGTACTGGGTGCTTGCTGATGCAGAAGTCCAGCCGTATTCCGTGAAAACTCGGTGTCTCGTCGTGGTGCAACGTAATATATTTGACTATTATATTTGGTATATGTATGCGCGGTGCCGTGCCTCCGCGAAATAAATCCTCGCGTCTCGCTTCTCTACTTTTCTCTCTCTCCTCTCTCTCTCTTTCCTCTCTCTCGTCTCTCTCTTGTTTCCAATCTCATTTTCTCCAATGCGCAGAGGGACGTGTGCGGTCCCGCGCCGTGCGGCTGTGTATTTTGTTGTTTTGTGTCTTTGGTGTAGTGGAGTCTCGCGCTGTTATAGCTATCGGTAAATGTGTATGAGCGTGCCAGGCGCTATTGTTGGGATATTGGTCACATTTAAACGTGTTACAGAATCTATACTTTACTATTCTACATGAAGTGGCGTTGGAACAGGTCGGTCAGCGCGGATATTGCAGTCGCTCCACTAAGTAGGGTCAGGATTAGGGTCAATGGGTCCAGCACTTCCGTTTACCTGGGGTAGAGTTTGGCCACGTAGGGTAAGAGAGTGATCGCGGAGCCTTGACATTTGGACATATGGCATTTGACATATTGACTATTTCAGAGTGCCTGTGGGCGGTGCCCGACAGATCGCAGTGTATAATGTGTCGTGTCTAAGTTAAGCTGTAGCGTCACGCTTAAGTGTAAAAATCGTCTCTGTAGTGGTCCGTGTGCTCTTGTCGGGTCGCGAAGTCGCTCTGTGTCGATTTTCGAGAGCCTGCGGCCTGTAGTCGCGCCGAAATAACAATACTTTTGATAATTTATTTGAGATCTTCTATGGCGGCCTCCAATTCGCCTAGTGTGCTGGGCTCTGCGATGATTGAATGCGCCGATTTGCTACAATTCAATCATAGCCAATCGAAATTTCCACAATTAAGTTGTCACAATTTGGATCCAACAAGATGTCGCCCCGCGTCTAAGTCGCGATTAGTAGCGAGATTTTCCGCCTGTGTGCAAACCCAAGTCGCGACCACAATTATCTCGGTATGCGTTTTTCTTGTGCTGTGAACCACGCGCCTTCCCACTCGCTCTCCTTTTTTTTTAAATTAGTCTTGGCAGGAAGTTCAATAAGTGTCGTGTGTCCACAGAGAGAAGCGCTTACGCGCCACCTCCCACACGCCTATTAAACACACACTGCGCCCGAGCGCAGCCCGGATCCGGCTGTAAATCGCCGGAGATTGAGCTCTCCCACCTTTTATCCTCTCCTCGCTTCTTTCCAGTAGCGCACACCACACGACACACACACACATCACACCATCCTCCACACACACTACACACACACCCACCTCCCTTTCTTACTTTCACACACACCACACCATCACCACCACACACACTATACACCCTCCACTTTCTCCTCCTCACTTCTCTGCGCTCTCTACCTCCTCCTCACTTCGCGCTTCTCTCTCCACTTTCTCCCCGATGACCTCTATCTACCTTTCCCTCTACCGTCTCTTCCTCCACCTTCTTCAATTCCGCGCACACGCGCACCACGCAACGCACACTGCACCCGCAACACACAACACCACACACACACTACCACCACATCTACACACACACTACGCTGCGCCGCTCCGATTATTATGCCCTTCCACCTCTTCGCTCAGATTAAGCTACTCACATCACTTCACTGCCATTCTTACTTTAACGAGTTTTCTCCCCATACGACCTTCTGCTCCTCTAACTTTTGTCCCTATCATTTATATTACAGAGTTAGATTGAATCGAACTCATTTACTGATACCTCTCCTACCTCTCTTCATCACACTGTTCATTGTCAGTGAATGCGTTAGTACATGTCGTGGCCGCGTGGCTGCTAACCGGTGGGCTTTTGCCCAGAGCCTGCAGCATCCATCCTCAACCTCCGAGCGGCTCCTGCGCCTCACATCCAACCTTTCCGTCTTTCTCTGATGAACTTGCTCCCTCCACGCGTCACTTTGTTCGCCACCCTTCATCGTTAGGCTCCCCCTCTTCTTTAGCACGCTACGGACGACAACTCCGCCGACGAGCGGCTTAGCTTACCAGCACGCCCTTTACGTGATGTATCGAGACTACATCACGGCGGTCTGGCCCATGCGTCGGTGCTGCTGCTGCTGGCTGCCCTACTGCTGCTGCTGCTGCCTGCCCCCTGCTACTGTTTGTTTGGTGTATTTGTCAGCTGCTGCTCTGCTGCTGGCTTACTGCTCTGCTTGCTGCTGCGCTTAGCACCTCCATCCCTTCCACGTTGCTCTGCACTCCTTCTTCCCGTCTGCTTCCTATACCGTCCTCCCTCTATGCTCTCTTTCCTTAATCAGCCTTCTGTCCCCTCATTTCTACTCCTCCTTTCTCCGCCTCCCACCTTAGTCTCCTCCCTGCCTGCCTCCTTCTTGCCCTTCTTCTCCATTTAATCATCCTTGTTTCTACCTACTCTCTTCGACCTTGGCTCCTTCTCATCCGTGCCCTCCGCCTTGCTTGCTCTAACCTCCGTCCTTGCAACCTTCCCCTGCATCATATTAACTTCTCTTCCCTCCCTTCGTCATCAGCCTGCTGCTGCTTACCCTTTTCCTGTCTGTGTGTCGCTTTTTTCGCTGCTGCCCACCTTCTCATCTGCCTCGTGTTTCCAAAACACTGTGGCTGGTCTTCTATGTCCTCTATCAAAACCTTCCGTTTCTGCCTTCTTTAAATCTCTCTCCTCCATCCTCCAAACTGTCCCCCCTAGTCACCTTACGCCTCTGCTAACATGCTTATTTCTCCCCTCCATCTTCCTCCTTCTTCCTGTTCTCCCTTCTCGCGCCTCATTCTCTTTGCTCTCACCTCCCCCCTTCATCTTTTTTTCGTCTCTCCTAAATCCTCCATTCTCGGTACTCTTCACCTCAACCTCATCTTTTTTTCCACGTTTCTTTCCCCTCCTCTCCCTCTACCCCTTTCCCACCCTGTGCCGTTATGGATTAAAGCTCCCATTCGTCTTTATAGATATCTTCTCTCTCTCCCCTTATCCTCATCTCGTCCCTAACTCAAGAACTCGGGTCCCATCCGCGGAAAAAAGCTGCCCATTGACCGTCTCCCTTTACCTGCTTAGTAGCGCAAGTCAGTCAGGATCGTCTCAACATCTTTCATGGCTTGGCTTCGTCGCAATGTATGGCCAAGAATAGAGTTGCATTTTAAGCCTATAATGTTGGGTTGGTCGCTCTCTCGCACTGCTTCGTGTAGCATGCAGTGTGATGGGCAATAAAGCGCCCTCAGTGTGCGCCGAAGGACGTTGACTCATATGCCTATATCTGGTTGTTTGCTTGTGTTTTTATTTCGCGGCTGCTTATTAATACTATTTAATAATATATATGTGTGTGGCTGTGTGCTGTGTGTGCCTGTGTGGCTGTGTGTGTGTGTGTGTGTGTTGTCTCTTCCTGCTCTTTCTATTGTTTTGTATGTGTGTGGCTGGCTGTGTGTGTGTGTGTGTTTATGATGTGTGTGATCTCCGCTTGTGTGTGTGTTTGTTGCTGTGTTGCTGCGTGTGCCGGCTGTGTGTGATGTGTGTTCGTGTGTGTGTGTGATAGTGTAGTGTGCGTGTGTGCGGTGTGTTTGCGCGCTCGGTGCTGTGTGTGTGTCGTTGCTGCGCGCGAGTCGGTCCGTGTGCTGTGGGGGTGTGTAGTTGCT